GGGGGGTGGGGGGGCGGGGTCCTTATTATACTTTTAGTATAGTGGACCCCAAAACGTTATTCTAATTATTCAGGGCCCTAAATTACATTGTGCAATACAGGGGGCCGAGGGGGCCTACAGTTAGGACTGCAGGGAGGGTTAAGGGGCATTGATACTTGGAACATCTTGGAACAAGGGTGTTTGGGACAAATATGGCAAAGCCATATGGGGACCATAAGGGGATACAATAGCAGTTCCTTCAGGCAAGCGTCTTAACTAAGCTAGCATATGTGTGTTGAAGTGGAAGGGGAATAAAGCTTGAATTTAATAACCCTAAACCCTATAAACCGAAACTCTGCACTTGAAACCCCAAGCCCGTGCATGGTTGCAGGTTCGAGATTGACTGAGAGGATCTTGGCCGCCTTTGTCTGTCTTGATGGGCTTCATGACTTCAACGGTTTTTAGGTTTCGGGCTTGGGGTTGTCGGGTTTGTCGATGGAAGGCTTGTCAACCTAAACCCCTAAACCCTAAACAATGAAGCGGGGCCCCTGAAGCCTATGTCCTAAGTCGGCGAACTGCGTTTCTTCTCCACCCTGCTCGGGTGTCTCAGCGGGTGCCTTAATAAGTTGAGAAGGGTTTTGGTGGAGGTTCCAGCATATTCATATCTATAAAATCCCTCACGAACCTCGAGGTATAGAATTCGTAGTCGTAATCTATTCCGCTCTAAGGACTAGTTTCTTCGTATAGTATATAACGGTTTGGGCCGCCGATCCAGCCCGGAGAGAGTTTGTGAGCTACTTAACGGATCATGAGACTCAGTAACTAAAAGGCTACAGTTTCAAGGCAACTAGACTTATACTTACGTATAACTCCAATTGCGGTACCTGCAACCTTACGTACTAGTCCCGCGATGCTCAGAGTACAACGGCAAGGAAGCGCAACAAATCCGGGAGAAATCCTAGGTGATAGCTACAGAGTCAAACAGGGATCATGCTTTATGGGGCACCGATCCCAGCTCTGAAGCCCGCCAGACAGCTTCACACTTACGCCCTACCTCCGCGACCATAAGTTCTTGTCCCCTGAAACTTAAACCACAACCTCCCTAAACGCTAGACCCTGATAATTACCTAATTTCCCGCAGCACCATCGCTAAACCCTCAAATTTCTGCGCATCTGCTCGATTCGAGATCCCGGCCCCGATAACTGTCCTTCGTACAGAACCCCACTACTGAAACCGAAACTGAGCCCCGGAAGCATTAAACTCCTGCGAGCCTGTGGGGCGATCAAGGCTGTTGTCACTGCTGCCGTCGTTCCGGAGACGTGCGGCGCCGACACGACCGGGCGAGCGGCTGGCACGAAGGCGCTGAAGAGAGCACCGGAGCAGAGGAACACCGCAGCGGTCAGCACGATGGAACGGGCCATGTCTCTAGCTGCGAATCTTGTGCTGAAACTCTACAGATCTGACAAGGAAATGCCCCAACTCGAGCCGGGCGGGTCCAGCGGACACTCATTCAATAATCATGCAACAACTGCAACCAGCTCTTCGGTTTGCAGCTGCGGAGTTCAACACCGGCAAAACAACTTAAAAACTAAATGCACATCAATTCCCAGAAAGAGCTGCAATGCTGTCCAATAATTACCTCCCAAAAGCTGCAAGATTTGCCAGCATGTGCTGTTTGCGGAAGCCCTAGAAGCCTGACACTCAAAATGGCCCAAAAGCACGGTTCAGCACGATCCCGGCCGTCTCTAGGCCCCAAAAGCCTTGACGTATGAGTCGTCGGAATTTTACAGTAAACCACCGAAAGACTGGCAGGTGGCTTCTGCCCGGCCTTCATCGCATGCACGGAATCTTGTTGCGAGAGCTATTTGCGGGGCCGAAAAAAATTAGGACTGAAGTAAACAAGTAAACGAAGATACAACCTTCTCTAAGCTGCCAGCTCCATTCATATGCTCGTCTTCATGTAGCGTGGGCTTTCCGAACTCATGGCCATCTATTCCACTGTTGCGGTTAGTGATCCATCGCTCTGGCCGGTGTTCTCATCTGTCCCAACTTGCATGGCTTCTACTGTCCCCAAGAGCCATCCAGCAGAAACGGAGATGTGCATGGATCGTCCCTGCATCTTTCTCTCCGCGTATACGCGCTAAACAAAGTATGCAAAGCTCGAAACCCAAACCCCTGAACCCTCAACCTCAACAGATCCTAAGACCAAGACTTGAACAACTCTTCCCGATTGCTCCATGTAGGGTTCTTATATAGATGCCTACAACGTACTTGGAGGTTCATGGCTACTTAGAAGTAGGGTTATAAGTCCCCTAATATGGGTTATAATTATAGTTACCCTACTTATAACCCCACTTATAACTACCCATGAACCTCCAAGTACAATGTAGGCATCTTTATAAGGCCAGGTCCTTGGAGGCTTAGGGCTATTTTCTGGCGTTGCCTAGGGTTTGTGGTGTAGGGTTTAGGGTTAAGGGTTTGGGGCCGGTAAATGGAAGAGCTTTTGGACTTCGAGAGTTCGTTCAGGAGCCAGTTACGTACGGTGTTCTGTTTTGCATGATGGCCCTTGCACGACCAGACACACACACACACACACACACGCACACACATTTTCGGAGTCCACCTATGAGGCCTCAAGCTGAGGGTATAATTACTTGGAGGACCATGGGACTTAGTAAGTAAGGTTATAAGTCCCTTAATTGGGGTTATAAGTATAGCTACCTTAGATATAACCCTACTTACTAAGTCCAATGATCCTTTAAGTAGGGTTCCTTTATAGGCTTCCTTTAAGGGATACTATTATAAGCCTTTCATAGGCTTCCTCTAAGGGATACTACTATAAGGCCTTGAAGTCGGGTTTGAACAGTTTGCTTCTTTTTCAGGGTGCACTGGGGACTTTGGCTTGCAGGCTCCCTGCCCACTTTCGCAAGTCGGGTTTAAGGTTTAGCGTTTAGGGGCTGCACGGTTTAGGGTTTAGGGTTTAGGGGTTTAGGGGTTTAGGGTTTAGGGTTTAGGGTTTAGGGTTTTTGGGTTTAGGGTTTAGGGTGTGGGGTTTAGGGTTTATTGTTTAGGGTCTAGGGTTTTGGGTTTAGGGTTTAGGGGCTGCCCTAAGGCTCATGGACCCCCAAAGCGAAAGCCCAAGCCTGAGCCCCCAAAGCCCAAACCTTCCCCAAGAAAGTCCATAAAGACAATAAGACCCTTAGGGTGATGGCTTCCTGCAACCAACGCGATCAATGTAATCCAGGTACTTAGAGCCATAGGACTAGAAATCATAGATACCCAGACCTTCCAATCTACCTTTAGTCAGGAATACAGTTTCCTTAATTTAAGTTAGAGCAAAATGACTTATCAGGTATTCTTAATTATAGGATTTTGGAGGGCTTCTTGAAAAAGTTTAGGGTTTTGCTGTTGGGAGAAAGTACACGGCGCAGACGACGGCTCTGCTTTTTTCTGCAAGATCAACCGCCCGTTGGGAGGACATTGCTCCCCTCATCATCATCCCTAACACATAAACTTGCCGGAACGCGTGGCCTACATACCCGAAAACTCTTCAAAAACCTACATCACCCTGTCAGCGTCCGAATGCTCTACATCCTTGCTGCATGAAAACACCCCTAGAGCCACTACTTCCGAGACCCTACACCTCTGAAACCTACTCAAGTCCCCAAACAAGACCAATCCACCCATCGCCTTTGGCGCCTAAACCCAAATAAAACCTAGGGTTTAGGGTTTAGGGTTTAGGGCCCCACAAAACCCTGCTCATCCAGTGGCTAGCTTCACGGTGATCTTCGAAGACTTCCGCCTCGCCAAGCGAAGCGAAAGGAGGCTTTAGAGCTTGGTCTGGGCTCAAGGGTTAAGGGTTAAGGGTTTAGGGTTTAGGGTTTAGGGTTTATGTAGCAGCATTCGTGGCTCGATTGTCGTTAGAGCTGTTCGAATTGCATTGGGGCGGGGGATGTCGCAGCCAAGTGTTTCTGCCCTGTTCTCTGTCTGCACCCTGAGCCTTACAGCTCAACATCAATGCTACTTACAGCTACCTAAGCCCTCAGCCCTGTGAGTGGGGTGTTGCGAATGGTGTAACTATGGTTCTTTGGCTTGGGTCTAAAGATTTAGGGTACTTGGAAACAGCCTGCTGGTTGCTATAATCCCAAATAGAACATCCAAAAGTCAAAAGGGTATCAAGTTCATTATACAACAAATACCATATAGACGAGAGCAAAGCCGGTCGAGGCATTCACCACAACTTCCAAATGCAGCATCGGCACAGGGGCTCACGAATCTCTTCGATCTGTTCCTTCTTGCGGCCTGCGAATCCCATCATCGCCTCATGAAGCCATCTCCCTAAACCCTAAACCCTAAACCCACATGCAGTTGATCAGGAGGTTCACCGGCCGCAGCGGGTCGCCCTCTTTGACCCTGACTTGGGGCCTTGGCGTTCATCCGATCCTCCACCTTCTTTCGAACCCTAAGGGTCCATGCACCTAAATAGTATATACTTTTGCCTTAAAGTAGCCCCTATTTGGGTACTTGGGGGCCAAAGTATCTACTATGCCCTAAACCCTAAACCCTAAACCCTAAGGGTACATGGGTTTAGGGAACCCTATACTTTGGCCTTAGAGCAGTCCCTACTTGGGTACATGGACCCTTATAGGGGAAGGCTGTTCGGTGGAAGCGAGAGCAGCTAGGCAGTTTCGCGCGGTGCGATGCGGTTTTCAAGACCAGCCGTGGCCTTTCTAATTAGGGCCCCCAAAAAGGACACAAGCATAAGCATGCTATGAGGATATTCCTACCTTATTGGGCTTCATTATAAGGGGGTATATGGGATAGCTTATGTGCTTTCTTGGGGCCCTATCTAACAGGATCGGAGGCTGAGATCTTCTTTCGAAACCTCGATGTTTACATCATCAGTCTCCCGGTAAAGAAGCTTTACAAACGACGTCACTCCAGTATTTTCTCACATGAAATATGTTTAGCTTATGAATATCTCAGGAAACCTATGCACAAGACTGGACATGTGAAGCGCGTTTTTGTTCACACCATCGCCCACTACTGGCCCACTGCATACTCTATACCTAAAACCCTAAACCCTCATATGGGTAGTTGTCAAAACTATGGTCCCTTTTGGGGTACCCAAAATAATAGGTGCCATATTATAGTAAGGACCCAAAAAGGGACCCTAATTTTGACAACCACCCATATTCCTGAATGAATTGGCTTTTGGAGTCTCTTTCTTCAAGGCCATTCGAAATCTCACCCTGATCCTGGAATCTTGGGAATCTCTGTCGTGCTGAAGTTTCTCAACAATCTCGTAAAGATCCGAGCGCCTACGGGGTTGGGCTTTGAATGTTTCTTTTTGAGAGGCTTGGGGTCTTCAGTCAACCTCATTCAGCCGATCCTCTCTTGCAAGCCGGTTTAGGGTCTCGGCGGCTAAGGTTTAGGGATGTTTAGGGTTTAGGGGTTAGGGTTAGGGTTTAGGGTTTCGGGTTTTAGGGTTATTCAACACTGTGCCTGGCACAGAACAGATGGTCCATGCTTTCTTGCAGTCCACGGTGAAGGCGGACGAAGTCGACAGTCATCCGGGCCAGCTCATCGCTCTTCAGTACTCCCAAAAGTACCATCCCCTGCTGCTCTACGAAATTGTCAAGAAACCTAAACCTAACGCCACAAAAACCGAATGATGATGTAGCTCGGACATAATACCAAGCTACATCAAGTTGCAGTATCCCAGAAACAAAGGGCGCATCAGAGGGGATCGAGTTTACGGTCTACCGGTCGGCCCCCTAAACCCTAAACCCTAAGCCCTAAAACCCCAAAAACTCATTCTTCAACTGTTGGGCTCCGCACTTCAATGTCTCCCCGGCTTTTGCCGACCTCATCTGCGCTCAGATAGGCCCTAGCGACCCGGGCTTAAGGGTTTAATGTAGGGGCCTGGATAATTAGAATAAGGTTTTGGGGTATATTATCTTATATGATAGCTATTTATAAGGAACCCCGAACATAGTATTTATTGAGGCCCTTACATCAGAGGGGGTCATAGGCTTTCTGCGGGAGGGTTTGGGCTTTGGGTGCCCTAAGCCAAGAACCCCGCAATCCCCCTTCAACACACGTCTGCGAGCCCGATAATTAGTAGAGGAGAGGGCTTAGGGGCACATTATCGCAGAATGATACTATAACAAACTCTTCAGATATTCTATTATTCAAATGCACAGCGGACACAGCGACACTCGAACGGCGCGAAGGGGCTTCTGCATCTTGCTGGATTTTCTCAGCGAGCTTTGGGTTCGGCACAACACCGGGAGGGCCCAACTCAGCGACTTTGTCCAAACCCAGTGACGTCCATGCCCAAATGGTTGAGGGTTTTAGAGTTTTAGGGTTTATGGGTTTAGGATTTAGGGCTTATAGGGCTTATAGGGCCTATAGGGTT